ACTAAAATACACCTGCAACACGAGAGCTTATCTGGAAGTGAGTCTGAAAATACTGTATTTAATGCTCTCACTCACCACAGAAACTCTAGATTAGTTTCCTGTGTTTTCCTCACCACACAAGAAAGAAAACAATTAAATTTTCAGTAATTCCAAGTAAACACAAGAAAAAGAAAGCTCCTATGGAAGAAACTTTCATTCCATTATTCTTGGCTGGAAGCAACATGCAGAAGTGGGTATTATGTATGCCCACCTCCAGTTTCAAGTTTAATTTCTACGTAACTAATCTGCAAATTTACTGTCTTATTTTTGAGGACAGTAGGTAAGACTTGCTTTTTCTGATTTTATATTAAGTAACACTAATTAATAATTTCTAACAAAAGTTAGCTGTGATAACACATGCTATCTCTTGCCAAAGTAACAACCAATTTGGATAGTAATGAAAAACTTTCTGATCGCATCCCAGCACACACACCTGCATGTACAAACACAGAAATCCAATAAACTGGTAACCTAAGAGAAAAAAAAAAAAGAAACATGTCGAATACCAGCTGCCCATCAACAACACAGTAATTTCCAGTGTAAAAGAAGAGCATTGGGGAGAGGCTGTTCAGGAGGGCCTGTTGTGATAGGACAAGGGTTTTAAAATAGAGGGAGGTAGATTCAGATTGGATATTAGGAAAAAATTTTTTACCATGAGAGTTGTAGAACACTGGAACAGGTTGCCCAGAGAGGTGGTGGATGCTCCATCCCTGGAGACGTTCAAGGCCAGGTTGGACGAGGCCCTGAGCAACCTGATCTAGTTGGAGATGTCCCTGTTCCTTGCAGGGGGGTTGGACTAGATGACCTTTGAAGGTCCCTTCCAGCCCTAACCATTCTGTGATTCTGTGATTCTGTGATTTAGTAAAAAGGAACTTCTATTTGTTTATCTCAGGGAGTAAATATACCAAGCAGAGTCAGTTGTCTCTAAACAAGTTAGCACATGCTATCAATAAGCAGCTCATCTGAGGAGAAAACCTAGAAATAGGCTGCCCAGGGAGGTGGTTGAGTCCCCGTCCCTTGATGTGTTGAAGAATAGGGTGTGTGAAGTACTCAATGATATGGTTTAATGGGAGATTAGGGACGGTTGGACTGGATGATCTCTAAGGACTTTTCCAACCTAGAAATCTATGAATCTATGAAATCTGCAGTAGATACACAACACTCTATTGAGGATTCCTTATATCCTGTCTACAAATGTTCTGTAACACAAAATGCACGGACTCATTTTTCTTCCCTGATAATATTCTCTTGGACTTTCATTATCTACTCCGCTGTGAACAGCTTTTCTCAGACATGGCTATTATGTTCAGATATAGAGTTTGAGTACTTTCAAGGGTGTGGGCTCATTTATCCTTTTTTCTCCGTATTTGGTACCACATTAAAACAACCCTGGAAAGTGATGTTGTAAATAGGAGATGTAGTCCAAACAGCCACATGACATATTTCTTCCCAGTGCCCCCCTACTTTTCTCCAACCCTGACTTGGAGTCATGTACGTTTGCTCTCTGATCCCTGCCAGAAGAGAATCCAGTGAATCTCAGCTGTCAGAGCTCTTCTGTTGGGAAATCTGTTAATTAGGAATGGGAGGAGCCCACAATCTTATTTCCCACCAGCCAGGATGTGTCAGAAAATAATAACTTTCAGCTGTAAATTCTATGCTTGTAAATCCACAACTCAGAATGTGCGTATTATCTTAACTGGCTGTCCATGGCTTGAATTAATGGAAATGAGAACAATATGATCATAACCTTATAAATCATGTCTGAGTACTAATTAAGCAAGCTATGAATGATTTAAAGGAACACAGAACAAATGTTGGCATTATATTCTGGTTTTGTATTAAATAGTTATATAAAGTTTTGGATCAAGAGGGAAGATTGATTTCATGTGTTCTAAAACCAAATTAAAAAAAAAATTATCTTTATTTTGCATTTCCATGTTGTAACTGTAATACTGTAGTATTGTGCTAATGAAGGAAAACCAGAAAACAACACGCCTGTTTTTCTGTTTATACTGTTAGCTGTGGGATAAAACCTCACTCTCCACCTAACAGAGCTGTTGGTCAACAAGCTCCTTTATAGAAAGAGGCAAGTAACACTAAACCAGCCTGCAAGTCAACAACCTGGGACAAAACCCAGTACAACGTAGCTTAGGCATCTGACTCTCATATGGGTAGAGGGGCATAGCCGGGTCTTCTTCTGAGGTAGGAATACGTACGTTCACGTTGAGAGAGAAAACCAGGAGGAGCAGGAGGATACAGACGTACATCCTCGATCTCACTCTTGCTTCCGAGTCCAGCTCTGACGCTGGATCTCAGTGCATGATTTGAGAAAACATCCAGGGAGGGAGTGTCGGAGGGGAGCAGGCTGAAGGGTGACGGCCTTGGCACCGTGAGCAAGGGACTGCTCGCGTTGAGTCCCTCCATGGAGCGACTGTCCTCCTGCTCAGCCAGAACTTTCTATGTGCTGGTAAATATGTGAAACTACAGCACAGCTCTATGACAACCATTTTGCCTCCTATCTGGACTAACCTTCAAGAGACTGAAGTTTAAGCTAACCACTCAGGGGAAAACTGCAATTGGACAGCAAGGGAAAATAGTGTACAAGTGTTTGTTTTAAGAACGTGGGGCCTGACCAAACCCTCAAGGCACTTTCATCAGCCCCACAGAACCGTATTCATGACAGAGGTTAGGAAATTTGTGATTTTAAAGTACATTATTTTTAATCTTCCAGTAGCCCTTCAAGCTGTTTGTCTATCCAGAAATAAATCTATGTTTTCATAAGGAATCCCTCTTCATGGAAAATGAGGTGAAAATCTACTTCACAGGTTTTACTGTTATTACTACTAACTATTGCTATTCCTGTTAAAAAAAAAAAAAATCTAGAGGCAAATACTAGCTGCACAGGGCAATTTGAGGGATCAAAGCCTAGAACAATGGCTGATATAAAGTAGGAAAAAAATTCTAAAAGCAAATTATTTGCAAATACATTTAAAAATTAGTACTTGCTATCGGAAAAAGAAATTGAGTTAAACACCTCTATGAATAAAACAATATCCAAACCTCCTAAATTGTGAATACATAATTATGAATACACAATGAATGAAAACAACAAAATAGGCAGGTACGCATGCAATCCGAAGGTACAATTTTCAGATGGCACTTTACCTGTCAGCAATGTCACCAAAAATCACTGCTCCAATCAAGACTCCAAGCATGAATGTAGGCTGGATTAATTTTGCAAGCCATTCTCGGTCACAGACCAGATCCCACTGTGTAACAACAGTGCTCTTCCACTTGGTATCATCATAGAGAAATCCATCAGAACAAGAATATATGGACTTGTTGCCTTTGTATTCATATGCCAGATCCAAACTGCCTTCTCGTTTGGACTTGCTGCATTGGCTAAGTTCCCAAATTTCTCCATTTTCCAGCTGGACTACAATGTAATTTTCTGCTGATGTCCATAGTGTCCAGATGTCCTCTATACTTGATTCAGAGGAGTTGTAGAAAAGAACACTACTCACATTTCCAGGGATCCCACATACAAAGTTAGGAGTAACAGCCATGAACACAGATGCTAAGTAATGGATACCACATGACATAGCTTGAAAGACAGATGCAAAATAAATACATGCTTGAAATCTGTAAAAGAAAAGAAAAATGTTTACTGAAGAAAAGCCTTCTATACATAAAAAAAAATAATAACATAATTATTTTGCTAGGATCAGCAAATGGAGACATCATTAAAGTGTCTAGTGTTTTGTTATATAATGCTGCTTCAATATTAGCTAAGCCCTGCAAGAGACCAAAAATGAGAAGAGATCCACAGCAGAAGTAATCTGTCAGGAAATAAATGCTGCTTTTAGTCATGTGTTTAGCCAAATAGAGAGAAGACCATTTAAAAAGACACAATTCTGAACTTAAGCACTTAGTTTGAAGCAACCTTCCACCCTCCAATTCTGTGTAGTACATCCCCTCAAAAAAAGGCCTCAGATTACTGGTACGGTTAGAAAAAAAAAAATATTGGAACCTCAGGTCCTGAGGGATAGAGATATGCATATCAAATAAAACAAACCAAACACTTTACACCCATCATTTCACCTAATTGTATCTATATAACTGTATTCCATCTATCTTCCATCTCTCTTCATTGCCTCCAAAAGACTAAGAGAGAACACATGTAGATACGCGTAGAGGAAGACAGAATCTGAACACTGTGAAGCATTTTGTACCAAAACTTAGCTGTAAACCGAGTTAGGTTTTGGCTTAAACAGGGTGTGCGGTTATGCATTAAAGATTGTAGCATAAAGTAAACATGGTAAAAGAATGTTCTATGCATAGCCTGAATTTTGGAATTTTAACAGCTTTTAAAACATGCTTGAGATGCAAGTAAATCTTAGTATATAAATTGCATATGTATTCTGAATTTCGGAAGACTTGCTGTGAACTCTAGTACCCCTGATTGCAAATTCTAGACGGTTTCTGATAATCTAGGCATAAGGATTCTATTCCTCAATTAAATGTTAAAATTATGCACATAATTAATTGTATTGGGTTTGCATGGCAAGGTTTTGGTAGCAGGGCGGCTACAGGGGTGGCTTCTGTGAGAAGCTGCTAGAAGCTTCCCCTATGTCCAAGAGAGCCAAGGCCAGCCAGCTCTGAGATGGACTCAGCACTGGCCAAGGCCAAACCCATCAGTGACGGTGGCAGCACCTCAGGGATAACATAGTTAAGAAGGGAAGAAAGTTACTGCACAACAGCAGTTGCAGCCAGAGAGAGGAGTGAGGATATGAGAGAGAAACAACCCTGCAGACACCAAGGTCAGCGAAGAAGGAGGGGCAGAAGGTGCTCCAGGTACCAGAGCAGAGACTCCCCTGCAGCTCCTGGTGCAGACCATGGTGAGGCAGGCTGTCGCGCTGCAGCCCATGGAGGTCCACGGTGGAGCATAGATCCACCTGCAGCTCATGGCAGACCCTGTGCCGGAGCACGTGGATGCTTGAAGGAGGCTGTGGCCTTGTGGGAAGTTAGCACTGAAGCAGGCTCCTGGCAGGACCTGGGGACCCATGGAGAGAGGAGCACACGCTGGAGCAGGTTTGCTGGCAGAACTTGTGACCCCGCAGGAGACCCACACTGGAGCAGTCTGTTGGTGAAGGACTGCATTCCATGGAAGGGACCCACGCTGGAGCAGTTCATGAAGAACTGCAGCCCTTGGGAAGGACTCATGTTGGAAAAGTTCATGGAGGACTGTCTTCCATGAGAGGGACCCCACGTTGGAGCAGAGAAGTGTGAGGAGTCCTGCTCCTGAGGAAGAAGGAGCGGCAGAGATGACGTGATGAACTGACTGCAACCACCATTCCCTGTCCCACTGTGTTGTTGGAGGGGAGGAGGTAGAGAAATCAGGAATAAAGTTGAGCCCAGGAAGAAGGGAGGGGTGGGGGGAAAGAATTTTAAGATTTAATTTTTATTTTCTTGTTGTCCTACTCTGAATTTGATTGGCAATAAATTAAATTAATTTCCTCAAGTCAAGTCTGGTTTGCCCATGATGGTAACTGGTGAGTGATCTCTCTGTCCTTATCTCGACCCATGAGCCTTTCATTATGTTTTCTCTCCCCTGTCCAGCTGAGTAGGGGGAGTGATAGAGCAGCATGGTGGGCACCTGGTCAACCACCACATTAGTACAACATCTGTTCATCAGAAAAAACAACATAGCTTTGGTTTCTCCACCACTTTTTATTTCCTGAGGGCCAATCAATTGCACATCCTTACTGCAGTATGCGCTGGGCTTTGGTAGTACGAAACAAAAAGCAGCTTTTTTTTTTAATCATCAGAGGTTACTCTGCTGAAGTTATAGGAAATGATGCCTAAAAAAATTGCCTTGAAATGTCTTGTGGGAAAAGTTAGAGCAATTCCAACCTCTGTAACAAATGTGACCTCTAGATCATTCCTCTCGAAAACATATCTAATCTAGCCTTGACTTTCGGTAAAAAAAGGTTGCAACAGTATCTAGCCTAGGACTTTTAAATCACCTATCATCACAATTTCTAATGAATTTCTAAACTACCTATAACCAAAGTATTTAAATAGAATTTGCTGGATAGATTGTCTTAATGTTCAATTAACCTTTCCGATTGAACGGTTCTCCTGTACAACCTAACTCCATTCACCATCCTCATTCTCCTTTTATCTTGTGATTCTTATTTCTTTCCTTGGTAAATGTAAACCCAGTTGCCTATCCTGTCTTTCCAGCGGTGTTATTGCTGTTCAGACAGAGCGCTTTTATCCCCCTTTCTCTTGACAACAGCTCTATTGACTTTTCCACAGCAGTTTGAGGAGAGGGCTAAACCCACCATGGCAGCTCAAAAGCTGGCTCCACTTCCCTCTTGAAGAGGCAATCCTCACACAGGTGCTGTGCTGCTCTTTACCAGCAAACCTTGTGAGAGATATGGTCAAGAGAAACTGAACATACCCAGAGCATCCCTTAAGCCTATCACTCTCCTCTCAAGAGAACAGCTTCTTGAGGACTAAGTAGTGAGCCATAAATCAAAGCAAGGCTAAACCAGCTCTGAAAAGCTTTTGGATTATCTTGAACCACAAAAAAGCAAAGATTATTCTGAAATGTAACCTTTATCCCCCTATTAATGCAGACAAATACGGTCAGCAACATTTTTTAGTTCCTCTTCTCTAGTTTCATTTTAACTGTTCCCATCAAAAGACACAAACTCGTTTTAAAAATAGCAGAGCAAGACCGAATTTAACAACTTGGGCTATTGTAGCAGTATGCAGAATGACAGAAATCATGACTAGAAGACCTCTAGCAAATTAGCAAATTTAATCTCTAGAAGCTGTGCAGTTACATCTTCTTCCAGCTAAGAAAAATGGCATACCTAGGACCAGGATCCTCAGTATTTGCATCAGAAAATTGCAGTGTCAGGTAGCCCAGGTGGTATTTCCCAGACAGAGGAAGAATCAAATAATTTCAAAATCCCACACATTCATCTTGAGTTTCCTAATTAGCTCTCACAGCACAAGAAATACCAGGTTTATCATTTCTCTTCTACCCAGTAAAAGTGAGCAGGAGAAATATACTTCTGCCCTTTCTTGTTGGAGAGCCTTGAAAGGAGATAACGACTTGTAAGGATATGGACTGAGAAGATGGCATGAGCCAATGCATTACATTATTTTTTAAAAACTCAAATCCCAATCACCAGGGCTATGAGTTTGATCAGGTCAGCTAATCTCTGCACGAACCACTCCCTTGAGAGTTTTATCTTATCTCTTCCTGAACACTTCTGTGATCGTACTTCAATAACCATTTTGACAGACGGCTCCACTGTCAAATCTTTCTGTTGGAAAGTTTCTCATTAAATCTAATCTCGATGTCCCCTTTTTCAGTGTAAGACTATTAGCAGCTTATAAAACATCCTTGTGCAACCTTGAATAAATCTTCCTCATCTTTTATCACTTTTTTGTACAGAATTATCAGTTATATTCCTCTAGCTACTTTCTAAAACTATATAAATTACAGTCCCTTACCCTTTCCTCATTTGTCCTTTGTGTCCTATAGAACAGTTTCCACCTCTATAAAAAGCAACAAAGGGTTTATTTTAAAGTATCTGTGTCATGCCATATTTCACCCATCTTTCAAGGGTCTAACTTAGAACTAGGTATACCTGATTCTTGTAAAAAATGCTCTTCCATTTTCAGTGTTATGAAAATCTTACTCAGTTCCAATGAAAAAATCCACTCTGTAGTATCATTATTTGTCTTAGCTAATTCGTAGCACCCATGCTAAGCAAACACAAAAAGTCAAACAGAATGCCAGATACACATTAATAGACATAATTTATGCTGTTTAAGACTTAATTTAAGGACAAGAAAATGCATTTTTACAGCAAAATGGTCGTGTCGTTGCAAAATCCTGCAGGATGGATTACACTGCAGTTTTTAACCTTTAACTGCTCAACAAAAAAAGCCAAGGAGCAGGCAGGGGAAGCAGAAACAGGGAAGCATAAGGCCTAATGTGAAGCTAGAAAAGTGTCTGGCAGCACCAGCGGCTGAAGGAATTCCACAGCCCTACCACCACACTAATGGGCTGCTCCCCTGCCTGTAAAAACTACCACTGCTTTCTCCAGTAAAATTCCACAATGAGCTGGCTAAGCATCTCTCTGTGTATATATTTACATACAAAGCACACACAAGAAAAACCAGCCTGAAAGCCTTCTTTTGCTGTGAAGGCAAAATTCATCGCCTACTACAGTGGCGTTATAACAGCATCCCCACCCATGCTAGATTGAAAAGCCCAACCTTATGAGCTGCCGAGAATCTCCAGTGGGTAGGAAGGACTTTTCTTCTACAAAGGCCAATTGCGTAGAGGTCAGGAAATTCATTAACTTGCATAGTTACCAAAAGGAGTTAATTAGGCCATTAGTGACAACATACAGAAAGCATGAAAAGTATGTAGGGAGGATGATATATGGGATGGGAGAATACTATAGATGTGTTGAACTTTGCTTGCCAGAACAGCTGAAGATTGAAAAGGGACAGAGAAAGACACAGGCCCAGTCTCGTGGTAGACAAAGGTTTGCTAGAAAGGAGGTCAGGGCAGCAGACAGAGCTAAGCATGGAAGAACATAAAGCTG